TTACTAAGTTCTGAAGTAGAAAATGTTTAAAGGTTTTTCTATTTTTTGCATAAGTGGCCCCTAAAAAGGGCCAATCAAATTTATATGAGCAAATGTGATAAAAAAACTACCATAAAATGCTATAGACAAAGTTTGGTGATCATCCATCAATTAGTTCTGTAAAAATATAGACGTTTAAAGGTATTTCTATTTTTATTTTTAGCTTAAGCGGCCCGTAAAAGTGGCCAATCAAATTCATATGAGTAAACTTGATAAAAGACTACCCAAGAATGCTACAAAGTTCAGTTAGTTCTGTAGAGGAAGAGGTCTAAAGTTTTTTTCTATTTTTTAGCTATACAGACCCCTAAAAGGGGCCAATCTAATTAATATGAGCAAACTTGATAAAAGACTACCTAAGAATGCTACAGACAAAGTTTGGTGATCATCCATCAATTACTTCTGTAGAAATAGACATTTAATGTATTTCTTTTTTTAGCCTTTGCGGCCCCTAAAAGGGGCCAATCAAATTGATATGAGCAAACTTGATAAAAGACTACCCAAGAATGCTACAGACAAAGTTTGGTGATCATCTATCAATTAATTCTCTAGAAATAGACATATAACGATATTTCTATTTTTAGCTTAAGTGGCCCCTAAAAGGGGCCAATCAAATTAATATGAGCAAACTTGATAAAACACTACCTGAGAATGCTACAGGCAAAGTTTAGTGATCATCCATAAATTACTTCTGTAGAAGAGAATGTTTAAAGGTTTTTCTATTTTTTAGCTCTTCAGACCTCTAAAAGGGGCCAATTAAAATAATATGAGCAAACTTGATAAAAAAACTACCCAAGAATGCTACAGACAAAGTTTGGAGATCATGCATAAATTAGTTCTATAGAGATAGATGTTTAAAGGTATTTCTATTTTTTAGCTTTAGTGGCCCCTAAAAGGGGCCAATAAAAATCATATGAACAAACTTGATAAAAGACTTCCCCAGAATGGTACAGACAAAGTTTGGTGATCATCCATCAATTAGTTCTGTAGAAGAAAATGTTTAAAGGTTTTTCTATTTTTTAGCTCTTCAGACCTCTAAATGGGGCCAATCAAAATAATATGAGCAAACTTGATAAAAAACTACCCAAGAATGCTACAGACAAAGTTTGGAGATCATGCATAAATTAGTTCTATAGAGATAGATGTTTAAAGGTATTTCTATTTTTTAGCTTTAGTGGCCCCTAAAAGGGGCCAATAAAAATCATATGAACAAACTTGATAAAAGACTTCCCCAGAATGGTACAGACAAAGTTTGGTGATCATCCATCAATTAGTTCTGTAGAAGAAAATGTTTAAAGGTTTTTATATTTTTAGCCCTAGAGACCCCTAAAAAGAGGCCAATCAAAATAGTATGAGCAAATTTGATAAAAGACTACCCAAGAATGCCACAGACAAAGTTTGGTGATTATCCATCAATTTGTTCTGTAGAAGAAGATGTTTAAAGGTTTTTTTCTATTTTTAGCTCTGTTGACCCCTTAAAGAGGCCAATTGGAATGACAAGAACAAATTCAAATGTGACTGTCACAAGGATGCTACAGACCAAATTTGAAGTAAATCCGCCCAGCAGTTTCAGAGAAAAAGACGATTGTTGACGCATGACGACGGACGACGGGTATCCTTCTTTGATACTAATAGCTCACCCTGAGCCTTCGGCTCTGGAGAGCTAAAAAGACATAATCTCCAGACTGCCATCCATCCATCTATCAAGTTCCATAAAATATTTTCTGAACTTTTTGTGTTATCGCGGGATTCAGTTTATGTGTTAAAGTAGCCATATTTCAGTCTATTATTGCCATATCAAACCAAAATTTTCAACATAGGAAGAAAACAAGACGTGCATAATATCCAGACTGCCATCTGTCCATGTATCAAGTTTCATAAAAATATTTTCAGTTATTTTTGCATTATCGTGGGATCCAATTTTGAGGACGGACGGACAGACGAAGAAAAGACATACAGATGGACAGAAAAACAGATAGACGGACAGACGGACGGAGGGTTAACCTTAAGTCTCCTCCGGTTAAACAGGTAGGGGACTAATAATAGCTCCGAGGCCACGAAACAACAGAACCACGATGGCGAGAGGATGAAAGTCCGATGACAATTATACGATATTATACCAAGTTTTCACCATCGAAGTTTCGTTTTTTGTTTGTTTGATTTTTGTTGTAGGTTTTTTTCGACCATCATTAATTCGTATTTAACGTTGTTTTGCGCTATGTGTGTCTCGCGATGGTCCTAATGGGACATCGTGGAAATCAGAAGAAAACTTTCTGGAACAATATTTCCCTTGTTTTGCGTTTATTTGGGGCATGTTCCACCTATTTCTTTAAGAAAAATGCATATTTTTTCGGCTGCAAGGTCGCTTGAGAAAAAAAACTTTCTAAATGTATTTTTTTTCCTTTGATATAACTGTTAAATGATAAGATATGTCTTTAAAATTTGATTAAGAGTCGTTTTTTAATTCTTTTCAAAACGTTAACAACATTAAACTTTTAGGGCGCTGGGTCACTTGGCAGCCAGGCCGCCAAATTCACAAATTATATACCTTTTAAATATCAGGAAATGTCTTCATAAAGTGCCGTTCTTGTCATATTTATAACATTTATATAACTGTAAAATTTCCGGCTGCCAGTCACTAGAGAAAAACAACTTTCTTAATGTGATTAATTTTGTCTTTTATATAGCTTTCAAATGATAAGATATGTCTTTAAAAGTTAATTTAGAGTCGTTTTCCAGGGCGGACAACTTCACGCCGCTTGGCTTATGGGCCGCTAAGTTGCCAACAGCACGCCACTAGACCGCTGGGCCGCCAAATTTACACATCTAATTTATCAAGGATAAAGTACGAAAGAGTGAACGTATAATGAAAAATAACTAACATTTTTTTCTAGATCGTCCATCTCATGGGTAATTCATGTATCGTTTATTCATCTATTTCTTGTATTTGCCGTTGTCATATTCAGAAACGCATTTCAATAGGAACTTGATCTTTTAGGCAAAATACAAAACGAATGCGCTAGAATAGTCTCGGAGTCGATCAACAATTCTAATTCTAATGAAAATATTAATAATAGCGTAAAATGGGAAACTTAAGAACATGTTACAATCAAAATCATTTTTATTTTATGCTACAAAATTAAATAAGGTGTATCGCCTATACCAGACCAAACAGCCATTCGGAATTCAAAAGACACAAGTGGTATAATGGCCTGCATATTTTCTAAATAGTTTCATTTTGTTGCTGGGGGATTGCGTTTAAAGGTTGTGGCATCAAAATTGCAGCCACCGTTTATCCCTGCGTGATCGTAAGATGCGATTTGAATAACTGGAGTCTATGGATCTCTTAACTCTAGACGGTGAGATGGTTTTGATCCCCGATATTGCTTTAAGTTTGTAAGAACCGAGGTTGTCCAAAATCATCTTTCCTGTTTCGGTGCCATATAACCTAAATTGTGTTGATGAGCCGTAAAACCAAACCAAAATCTCTCTGAGAAAGTGTTTAAAACTTGTTTTCCTTACTGCAATATGTGAGCTGCACGTTTTTAGTAGGAAAACCTTGATAACCATGACGTTTATGTAAACAACTGTAAATTCATGGAATAATTTCAAAAAGGCAGTTAGCAGTAGTACGCCGTACGACTCGGGTTATTGTTACAAACCATCGCTTATAGAGGACCATAAAACAAACCAATATAGTATACCGAACTTTCCGACATTTACAAGAATTATCTATCACGTAATAAGCAACCTAAATCATCTTTTTTCGGTATTTCGTATCAAGAAATGCAAGGTTGTGCAAGAAATGCAGCCTTCGTAAAAGCATATCTCAGTCACCGGTATGTGAATGCGGATAAAAAGAAAATAAGTGTCTTTAACTTTTAGAATGTCGATTCTTTGATACAAATGGACAAAAATATTACAATGCTTAAAAAATTATGCTACGTTTCAATGAACATCACACTAGTTTTTGGCAACCCATACTGGCCAGTTATTGATAATCTTCAAAGATGTTTATACATATATCTTCGGCCTGACGGTCAGACAACACATCGCTTTTTAAATGTTTCTTTTCTTCCTATTCATTGATGTACATGTACTTATTAGCCACAAGCTTAACCAAATGTACATTTGCCGTGTCGGCCTTATTTTAAGGATTCTGTTTTTCTCTATTTTTTGTCAACGTGCAATGACTACATATTTACAACATCATCATATGAATATATGTATGGGGAGTGTTTATAATAAATGAAAAGTCATCAATTTAAAAGCACCAACTTCCTAAGGGGATAAACTTCAGTTGAGAGTTCGAAATTGAATTTCTTAGTTTCAAAGCTTCTTTGATATATTTGCAAACACTTATTGATACCTTTCTATTACTAAGTAATTCAATAAATTGAAACAGAAATGGTCTGTTATAATAGTAGCTTTTAATATATTTTCTGCGTAAATCAACAAATCTTAAACATACACATATGAAATGATACTCATCCTCAAAATCTAAAATAAATCAGCACTAAAAATATCTCCGTTCACGAGGAATGTTATATGTGGCATACTTTCCTGTTTATATCCTAAGAGGATTAACAGTTTTTATTTCAAGATAATTTTTGTAATAAAGGCACGGTTTAAACTGTTTGCAAATACATAAAGTAGGACTCCGAACTAGAGGAAGATTTAATCCTAACATTTGAATATATAATTGATTTAAATTGTAATTGTATAATGTTTATATTCGGGAAATAAATATGTTTATACTAAACTTATAGCAGCATATTTTTTACAGGACATTTTATTCTGATAATGTATAATAATTATGTTTGTTAATTATCAGAGACATTCTACGTTACAAATTTTTCCAGGATCGACCATAAGATTATTTTACATAATTATTATAAATTTTACAGAAATATTTCATTAGATATAGCTTCACACCCTTTGATTTAAAATAGATTTTATCTTACCTGTTTCTAAAAGACAGATAACGAAAATACAAAATATAAGTTTTCCGTTCATTATAAGTAAACTCTGATAACTAACACTAAAAAATTTCATCATTGTCACTTATTTTCGTAATATCATTTGTTTGCTCCATCTTGACGGAACAAGATCAACTGGCAGAGTAATACTAAGACCAGCTTTCTGCCCGGGATAAGGTCTGACATTTTATAATGTTGAATTAATAATCGCTTGTCAATTATCAATAATGATATTCAGGAACATTGCAATTATATATTGTCAACAGACTGCCAAACGCGTTAAAGCGCAACATTATTTTTTTGTTATAATGCCACAAATTCATTTACAAAATTCTGTTATGATATTTATATGGTCCTTTAGGACAATAATGCAATTATAACTAGAAAAGACCGGAAGCTGCTTAACCCGGTTTATATTTGGATGGTTTGGGATAAGCTGTGTTGTTTGTAACAGTATTGTGTACAAAAAAACAAAACGATTGAAATGAATAGCGTCTAGAATATTCTCTACTGGCTTTGTTGGAATTGTTCTTGAGTGGCGAACGTAAAATATCGCCCAATATGTCTGTCTTGTTGGTAATGTGATGCAGGTATTTTCCAGATTAAATACAACTTTAATCGGTTTAAAATCTAACGTTAGAGACGATTCTGAAAAGGTAGTGAAACCCCAAATCATTTCCAAGGACATTTCGGTAATAGTTTTATGTTAAAAATCAAATTGAAAAACCACCAAATAAGATAAATACAACCGTTATCTATATTAAATGGTAATTTACAACATTTTTACATTATATTATCATTATATTATGTTACATTTCAATAAATGTGGTTGCATGATATTATAAATGTTTAAACTTTACGTCATTATGTCGTTCCGCACGTGTTTGCAGTGATAGTTTTAAAGAGCGCATGTTTGGTACAAAATGTGTCAATATTTGGAACATCTGGGAAGTCCTTTTCGTTGAAACTATTTTATTACCGGTAAGAATTAATAAAAGACATCTTCACAAACTAATTTCAAATTGGTAGAATATGGAAACGTGAAAGGGCCTCCAATAATTAAGATATTGATGTGTAAGTCAACTGATTTTAATATGATTTAATTAGATGTTTTAACAAAAATCTTTTTTTTTCATCCACTAAGGTTACAAAAAACATTTATTTCCTCTATTGCAAAACATTTGTCTTTTTGACAAACATTCGCCTGGACAAAATCTCAATTTGAGAAAACTGACTAAGAATGACAAAAACTTGTCTAGTCTTAGTGAAAGAAATGAACAGATTTGTGTTAAAGCATCTGCGCAAACAAAAATTAGTCGTCTTACACCTCATGATCGCACTAAATGGAACCTTTTAACGTAACCCGATAAAAATGAACATTTCACAAAGATAATAAGTTATACTTGTTCTACTATTACACAGAAATAAATTTAAGTCGAGGATTCTAGGCATAATATGAAAACAAAGGAAGGAATAAAAGTGATTTAAGGATAAATACAATTTTGATTTCTCATTAACTGCTCGAATTAAATGCATTTATCATATTACTATTTCTTGATCTGTCTGTTATTGGGATGTGTATGAGTTCCTCGTCGGTGATGTTATGCTCAGATCCAGGAATAAGTCCCAAATGTGATTGATAGAACAAATAACGCAGAACTATAGAACAAAGAGTGCGACAATTCACTGGGCCGAAACATCAAGAGCCTTGACCGATAAATACCGGAATTCAGTATTAAGTGTGGTGTTCCAGCATTTTTTTAAGTCTCACTTCGATTTTTTTTATCAAATATCAATTAAACTAATGTAAAGCTAAAACAAACCCATGTGTCCATGATATTTATCTTAATTAGTTCAATGAATGTTTTTTGAGCAGATTGGCATTATAACAATTATAATGAGATATTTTAATGCCAGAAGGATTGGCACAATAATCACAAATTGGTCTGTGCATAGTATTCACGTTGACATTTCATAGCCATTGATGTAAATGTCAATAGAAACAAAATTGCCTGATAAGGGAGTAAATTATTTTCATACTGTCGACGTTAGACGTTAACAAAAACATTGTCGGCTGTATCAACCAGTATTTTATTCAGGTACGAGGCACATGCCTTATGGCTTAAAGGTCCGAACACTTTCATTATAATTTCCTATATCTGATGTATTTTCCAAAAAGATGCTCATACCTGACCCATTTTTCTCCTCTGTTGCTATTTTGCAACAGGTACAGTTAAAGAGAATAAGAACTTTGTATGGAAGTCAAAATACAACTTTGTTTACATTTTGTAACTTAATTGACATATAATTTTATATTTACCGCTTCTTTCTTCAGTCAACAAGCATCTTACACATTTCAAAATCTAAGACTATTACCCCTTTTTGCAAAATAACAAAATATAGTAACGTCAAAAAATTATATCACATGCTATTGTGTTTCTTCCTTCTTAAACAATTCACAATCTGAAAATAACATCCAAACGGGGTGACGTGCACCTACTTTTTAACTATTTTAAGTCTTTTATCATTTAATCATTTTAGCGCCTTGTCCAGTATATACCGAAATACGGTAGATCTATTAAGTGTGGTGCTCTAACCCTTTTTTTAGTCTCAGTCCCACTAACTATGTGTTTTCCATGTTAAGATCATTTAGCCCAATAGAAAGAGCATCGGATACCCTGTTAGTTCTCGAGCAAAGCGAAACATTTTCCGGTACAAGTCTTCTCAAAACATCATTCGTCTCGCACGTCATTCGTCTCTTAGCACTAATTTAGTAATCCTGTGGTATTAGTAAAAGGTAATTGTGGGGGAAATGTTGCTACTGGTTAGTTATCTGGTGAATTTGATCAACCGCTGAGATTGAGACAAAAAGTGAGTTAAAATCTGCGTAAAAACATAAAATCAAACAAGGCTTATCGGCTTACAGGCAGTATTTAAATCACGTACTGGAGTGTTACCTTTTGAAATAAATATGTGTTCACCTTTGCTGGATTTACAATATTTAAGTAATGTACAGGGTAGTTTACCTCATAACTATTCATTTGATATTTATCTGGTATTTGAAAGATAATTCCATTTAACAAATTGTCACAAAATTAAAATACGCACCACTTCCAGCACTCGAACTAGCGAATAAGAGTCATAAATAGATATGCCAGGACATATAATTAAGAACATGTTTATTATGAAAAGCATGTTTTATTTTCAATTGAATGTGTATATTTATGTAATTCGAATAGAAAAGTAGTAAACGTTAATAATTTCAGAAAACTTTCGGAGAAAATTCATGCTCATCTGGGAATCCAGATATTGATTGACCTTTATAATTCCTAAATATGATGTTAAAAATGGCTTGCAGACCGGTAAGCACATACATTTCTCAAGATAACCCACCATCTAGCATGCAAAGATAAAATATCGGAAATGTTGCCTTATATAGCACTAAATTAGAAATTATCCTTCGTTTTAACGTGTATTTGACTTTTACTTTTCCATGCGAAGAAACGAGAAAAAATGACATCTTTGAGACAAATTACATATGTTATCTCCTTCTCTGCATTGTTTTATAAAATACTTATTTGAAAATAAAAAATGTGTAAGATTGTCTCTAACAGCAAAAAGAATATACTACTCAATGGCCCGACAACAAGACATGATGAAAACTTAAATTCAAATTTTCAATTTTGTCATAAAGTGTTTTTTTTAATACCATCATCACGTTTATTAGGACTAGGTTATTACGGTATAATTTGTTTATTGATAGCCCTGCGAACCATTTTATTCAGCAGGGTATTAAGTATTTTATTGTTGATATATATCAATTTACGTTCAGGTAGGCTCTTGGCAAAAACAAAAGGTTAAAACTTTAAAACAATAACTCCAAATCATCCAAAATCATGCAAGAGAATATATTTTATTTCGGGATAGAACACATCACATGTACAAATAATTAACATACATGAGAGCTATGACATGCACATCAATACCAAAGATAACACAAAAATTACTGTGGTCCCCTGTGTTGGTGGCATGACACATGGAGCTTTTATCCTGTGCAAATAATTACTTTAATTACAACATTGTCACATAGCATTGTAACAAGTTAAAACAGAATAAATATACTAGGAAGCAAATGACAAAAACAATTAATAGGCATATTTTTCTTAAGACAAACTACAGTTTTAAACAAATTATCATTATATCACAGTCACCGAATTAAACATATTGGTAATAAAATGTACGAATCAAAATTTACAAATGGGTATTACTTACACTGAAAGAAATGCATCATTGCATATTAAATGTCACACACACACACAGTGTTAAATTCGAAACAACCTGATGTAAATGTAAACAAAAAACTTACATAAAATGTTAACAAATTACAAACTGTCCAGCAGGTATTTCTGAAAGAAAGTAACCTGCCAATGCTAGATAAGAGTTGACAAACTATTCCACAACGAACAACCCACAAAACAAATAGTATTCTTTTATCAAAACACTGCTTTGTACAATTCTACCATGTTTAAGGTTTCAATTCGATACCTCTAATATGTGTTTATGCCCAGGACAAAATTAAAATAACAAAAAGCATGTAATTTGTCAAAGACTTTTGGCTAACATAATGATAATGTAGAATGTACCGAGGGACAATTTACATTTTTGGCTTCAAACTTAATCTTAAAATACTCAAATGAAAATGTTTAATTTTCCAGGCTTACTTGTCCATATTGGGTTCAGGTCAGAGAACACATTTTATCATTTATATTCAAAGACTCGCTGGTAATATCATTATATAGTAAATAAGTTATAATATTCTCACATTTAAACATTCTCAACTCGAAGTAGGCCTAGTTAATCAAGAATTGTTATTGCTCGAATCTCGTATCGCGGTGAAATAGACTATTACCCGTACTTTTCCCGTATTGGCCAATCTGAAAATCTGTTGGCGTGGTTTACATTGCATGAGGCGAACAACAAATCAGCTTTTCCTTTATATTATAGTAACGTGATAATTGACCATAGAGCAAATCAAGAACATAAACTAATATAACACGTTAATGAAAATCACATGATGTTCTTATCTGCATACTTTACATTCCATTCAATAATTCTTAAACAGC